CGGCACTGAGGTATGTTTCCAGCTCAAAATAAGATACGGTTGCAAAAACTCTCCCAAAACTCACACGCAAATCCCAGACTTGTTGTCAGCATCTCTGCCTTGGCAGGCTGATGGGATCTTCACAAGGAGCTGCTGTGCCCTCTGCTAAAAGGCACACACTTCTTCGAGCTAGAGCAAGTATTTGGGGGCAAGAGAAGCAAAAGAGCCCCCCCGGTTCCATGTAAGCCACAACAGCCATGAGCAAGCCCCTCCAGTGGTTAACAAACCTCACTGCTTAAATACAGCTTCCTCATTTCCACTTTCAGTGTGTTCATTGCCCAGATTTTGCCTCTGGATCCCTCAGCCCTCCACTGCCAAGTGTCTTTTCCCATGGAGGGAGGGAGTCTGCAAGCTGGATAACCCCTTTCCTACCCGTAGGGAAAGAAGTGAAGCTCCCGGAGCCTCATTCCAATCATTTTCCTTGCTCTGCCCTGAATTGCAGCCAATTCTGCAGCTCCCCCACTCTGGCTGTAAATATTGGTGCTGCTGGAGCCCAAAAGCTGTCACACTGTGGGGATGCTCCTTGCTGCTCCTAGTTCACATTCCCCTGCTTATTCACCCCCAAATCACATTCACATACTGGCAGTGCCATGAGACCGAGCCCCCTTTTTTGGTTGTTAACCTTATTTCCCTATGGGACAAGGATGCATGAACATTAAAATTGAGGACAGGACTTACCAAACCCCATGGCAGCATCAAGCAAAATCTCATACAACAACAAAATCTTCCCCCAGATCATCATTTCTATAACATCATCAGCTAGGTTGTGCTTCCTTAGATGCTGAACTGAATTACTCAGCCAGCACAGAATACCCATCAATGCCCTTTGCAAAGGCACCCATGGGTGCTGGGAGGCCCAGGGGGGCTGCTGGGCAACTGAAATCACCCCAGGAGCTGCTGGCACCAGAACAGATTGGACACCGTGGGATCTAAACCCTTTGGCACATCCCAGCCAAGAGCTCGGTGCTACCTTTAAATAGGTATACAGTGACAGAGATACCCAAATTCGACTGGGAAATGGGCTCTAGGATTTAGATTGACATAGATTGACAAGTAAGGGCATAATCAGTGGGCATCCATTGCATTGCACTGCCTGCATCGCCCAAGGATGGTGGTAAAGTCGTGCCATTTGAGACCCTCCCCTTTATTAATACCCATTATGTGGGTATTATCATGTGGATCCTTGGATGCACGAGTCATGCAGCCCAGCAAGTGCCGCTCACTTGCCTTTACTTACTTATTTTGCATTTTATCCCCTCTTTCTCCTCTTTCCCTTGCTGGCACAAAGCCCTCAGCTCCTATTTTTGTCGGTGGGGATTGGATCTGCCATGAAAACCACTACAGGGACCTCACAGGAGCAACACCACAACCCCAAAGAAGGGGAAAGGGAAAAATAAACACAGAGATCACCCTGTGCCAGCCAGGCTGGGGGCTGTTCTCACAGGGAGGGAAAAGCCAAAGCAGGGATGTGCCAGCAGCAAACCCCTTTCCTGTTGCCAAATCTCCCTACCTAATTTCCCCCCCTCTAAAAGAAATCTCTTCCTCTGCCAGGGTTTGAGCTCAACAGCACGTTGCTCCCCTCTCCACCCCTCCCAGCTCCCTGCAAACCCCAGCACTGCTCAGATTTGGGCTTAAGGCACGCTGGCAGTCTGCACCGAGCCAACATGCTGCATGGCTCTGGCTTGTCATTTCCAGCTGGTAAATGTCATTATTCAAAGCTGGAAATAAATGGCACCATTGCTATAATGCCTTTTCCACAGTGCCAGGGCTGGAGCAGGAGGGGAAGGGAGGGAGTGGGCCAGGGATAACCCCAGGCAGGAAGAAATAGTGGGTTTGGGATGCCAGGAGGGTTCAAGAAGAAGGAGTGGGGGAGTCGGAAGGGAGCATCATAGAATCATAGAATAGTTAGGGTTGGAAAGGACCATCAAGGGCAATTCAAGCTGGGAGGAGGGAATTAGGACATCCCAGTTTAACCTCTTGCAAAAACAGCGCTGTCTTAAGGTCTAAATAAGCTCAGATCAGCATGACCAGGGCTGAGAGGGTCCTGCTCCCACCCCAAACCCCAAAAAGATGCTGCAGGCAGGAGGGGGATGCAACATCTCAGAGAGCATCCCTACCCCAGGGATGCAGCAATGGGGAGCATCCCTGTCCCTGTGCTCTCTAGGAGGCAGCTGGGCGCTGGCAGGCGCACGGACCCCCCCGGCAGCTGGTTTTTGGCCGTGGCTGTTGCTGTGCAGCCTGGCACAATAGCTCATTGTGGGGCCGGCTTTCAAGCGAGGCCAGGGAACGGCAGCGCTCGGCGGCGCGGGGAAAGGCCGCTGGAGGAGCCGGGAAGTTGCTGTTGGATGGCGTTCAGAGGCCCCGGCGCAGCGGGAGGGAATCGGCCGCGGAACGCAAACAGAGCGCGGGGTGGAAAGTGCTGACTGTGAAAGGCGTCCCTGGCATCCCCGGCACCGCCACGGGCGGTGAAATAGAGCCCAGGGGTCTAAATTCCTTCCAATAGCCCTAAATCTCCAGTTATTCTGGGGTGAGGTCTCCAGCAAGCATGAACAGCGTGTGTGCATCCCTGTGAGCGCATCCCTGTGTGCTGCAAATGGCCAAGAGCAAAGCTCATCCCCTTGCTGCCGCAGCACCCCTCACACCGCTCATTCTCCCTTTCCCTATATTCCCCCCACCCTGCAGTCCTGCGTCCAGCTCTGGGGCAACACCACAAGAGGGAATTGGAGCTGCTGGAGCAGCCCCGAGGGCTTGGAGCAAGCTGCTCTAGTGGGAGGTGTCCCTGCCCATGGCAGGGGGGTGGAACTGGGTGAGCTTTAAGATACTTCAACCCAAACCCATCTGCTATTCTATGATTCTATATTCACATTTCTCCTCTTTCACCATATCCTTCCACATCTCTTGTTCTATCTCAGAGATTTCTAGAGAGCCCTCCCTTAGTTAAGGCTTCAGTAATTTCGGTTCCTGTTTCAATCTCTATTTCCCTCCAGCGCCAGTTTAGACATCTCATTTCAAGACACTGACCTAAAAAAAGACTCGTTTGCTCTCTGGCCTCTATTTAGAGCAGCAGCTCTCAGCACATGCAGCCACTTCCAAGCATGCAAAGCCCCCTCCATCCTGCAGGCACCAGCCCTGGTGCTGGGGATTCACTGCACCCTCCTGGCACTGTGCGCTGGATGCCCACATCCCTGAATACACACATGCCAGAGCCTGGAAGACCCTGCTTGCTGCTCTGGCTTTGTTTAAATCCCATGCCTGAACAATGACAGGACAAGGGGGAATGGCTTTAAATTGAGAGGGGAGACTTGATTCAGGTATTAGAAAGAAATTCTTTACTGTAAGGTTGGTGAGGCACTGGAATGGATTGCCCAGAGAAGCTGTGGCTGCCCCATCCCTGCCAGTGCTCAAGGCCAGGTCCGACAGGGCTCAGAGCAACCTGTTCTAGTGGAAGGTGTCCCTGCCTGTGGCAGGGGCTTCGAACTGGATGAGCTTTAAGGTCGCTTCGAACCCAACCATTCTATGACCACGGGGGAGCATCTGCTTTGCCTCGGGGCTGTTAGCTGCTGGCCATCATTTCCCCAGTGGATACCGCAGGTGCACCGGGGCTTCCCCAGCCAGTATTTTTAGTGCCAGCATTAAATCAGTCGCCTGCAGTTGCTGGGGGCTGCGCAGAGACTTGAAAGCAGCGGATGGGAACGGAGCTGCTCTTGCTGTTTATTTACCCAGGGTGGCCGGGCTCTGCCTGGCTCAGCGCCTCCAGCTGTGATTAAAAGAGCTACGGCAAGATCAAGGTCCTGGCAACAGAGGCAAAGGCAGCTCCGCTCCTGCGTGTTGCTCCCTGTCTCCGAGCTGCATACGGAGCAGAGCGTCCCTGGGGTATTCCCTGTTTTGGGGTCCCATCTGCCTCTCTGACAGACCTTGGTGCTATCAAGCTTAGGGTATGCTGAGCATTCAAAACTCAGTAGCATCCCAAGCCCACACTGAAGCATCACGACACTTCTCCACCCCTCATCCTTCCCCAAGACCTCTCGCTTCCTGCACGGCTGCAAGCTGAGCAACTATAAATGGAGTTATTATAAATATTCCTTACCCTGGATTCATCCGTTGCATCCTCTCCACGTCGATGACCTGACGTCCCTTCTTGGTATTCCACGAATCTTGAGTGCTTTGTCTTCGTGCTGATTCAAGCAAACAAGCGTCAATGATGTTGTCCTCTGGGAATTCCCCATCACACAAACTCACCGGCCCTATGAGTAAGCGTCGGCTCCTGGACCATAAACCTCCCAGGATGCTTCACTAATCAGACCTACATGTTAAAAGGCTCAATCAATCCTGGTTTGCTGAGGATGAGGGATACCTGAGCCAGGATAACAGCACTGGAAAAAAACATAATGTATAAAAATGTATCTTTCAAAATCTGAAGCACAATGGTCTGATTTGCTTTAGTGGGAGCCCAGAGGTGGATTTCTCCTCTTGACAGGCCACAGCCCAAGGTCTCGAGCAGAAAAGTAGATGCCCAAGAGCACCTTCACAGCAAGGGTGAGCTGGAGGCTTTGCAAGTTGGCTGCGCCTATTTCACAACAGCCGGCTGAAGAAATTACAACTAGAAGTCATTTTGGGTGGTAAATCACAGCCCAAGTTCCTGGTGATGATCTGGGATGAAAGCCCATTCTGAAACCCTGGAATTGCCCCTGGGATGGCAACGAGGATTGGTGATGGTCTTCAAGGAGCTGGAAAGGTAACCCAAAGCGAGAGGGAGCTGGTGTCATGCAGCATCTTCTATGTCCACCCAGAGGCCATGACTCCAGTCAGACCCTTATTTCCTATAACCACACAATAATAATGCAAAAAAAAAAAAAAAAAAACAGAACTTGCTGGGATTTACAAGAGTTTGCATTGCTTTTCCCCCTTTCTCCCTGAATTCCAAGAGCAAAGGCAACGAAGCACCACACCGACACAGAGGATTAGGAATTATTCTTCTTTTTAATTTCACATGGTTTAAAATACGATATGAAATAAGGCTACAGTATATAAAAAACTCTCCAGCAAAATGATGTGCCAGCATCAGCAATTAAAACAAAACCAATCCCCTCCTTCTTTAAGGGTTCAATGGAGGAGGGACTTCTTTTTGCATCCTTTAAAAAAATGAAACAGAACACAACACAACGCACGGACACACACACACACACACACACACATCGCTACATCTCTAAGCTACCTCAGCTCAGTTTGTTTAAAAAGCACCTGCTTTTTCCTTGTTTTTTTTTAATCTATTTTTTTTTTTAAATCTGGCTTTTAAACTTTTTTTTCCCACTTTTAAAAAATATAAATTATATGAAAATACAAGTTGGAAAATAGTTGAACAGCACAATATAACAATCTCTTCTTTTTCTTCTTCTTCTATCAGCTTAAAAAGAAAAATCTCCTGTAAAAACAAAATTAAACCAAAAAAAAAAAAAAAAGAACATCCACTTTTTTTTTCTCTTTTTCTACTGAGGCAGATAATTCCTGGAGATATTCCATTACAACATATATGTATACATAGATTTATCATTTATTTAAACCTCTTTGGAATGTAGACAACAGCTCACGGATGTTATATAGACCCTACCAGAGAGCAGAGCACGCCAAGGCATCCCAATATTGCGACATTAAAAAGGAAGAAGCAACCAAAGCCCTAAAGCCTTGCAGAAAACCCCTCCAGAAAAGCAAACGCAAGAAGACGGACACGTTTCCCACAGCATCCAAATACCGGTGCTTCCTGGGACCATTCTTTTGGAGGAGGTTGGTTTGGGAAGATGTGAGAAGGTTCAATTGTACAGTATCTTCTATTTCTTGCCCTGTTTGGCCATTTTTCCCACCAAAAGCACCTGAGACATTCCAAACCAAGACATAATTACCCAATTCCAAAAGCCATGTGTATCTGCTCAGGGTGAAACTTAACCCCATGCGGAGAAACCAGCACAAGAGTAAGCCATGTCCCCAACAGTTCTCCATCGTCCCTCTCAAACCCATCTGGTCCAGCATGTGTGAGTGGATTAACCAACTCTTCATGGCCTTGAGGAACAGGAGGGCAGAAGGTTTGGGGTCCAGCACACCTGGTTCAGCACACCCCTTGCGAAAAGCCAAAAAGCAGAAAGATACAAACAAAAACAGAAACAGCAACAAATCTGCAAAGTTCCAGTGTATAAACAGCACACAGCCCTCTCTGGGATGGTCTCTAGAATGGGAATAAAAAGCAAAGGAAAATGGGGAACGATGAACCTGACGTCCCTAGGACTGTACTGCCCTTCTGCTGCACACAGCCTGTGAGCTGGGATGGCAAAAGGCTGGGAGAAGCGCCAGCCAGGAGCTACTCCCCAAAAAAACAGATCTGCTTTCCATACTTTACCCTTTCTAACCTCTAAATCAGCTGCCCCAAAACACTGGCAGCACACAGGTTCAGCTTGGAAACCTGGAAAATCTAAGCACAGTGGACTGGAAGAGAGATTTAGCCTGGCAGGAGGACGGGGTTGGTCCCCGAATTCCCATTGGAAGGAAGTTTTATCCCTGTTTTCTGCTTGGAAAAGGCACTTCAGCTGCAGCAGAGCAGCCAAGCAAGGCAGGAGACATGTCCTGGGATGCAGCACAGTGCCAAGGGCAGGAGACAGCCTCTTTCTAAGGGTCTTGGGGACTCTTTCAAAGCACTGGGAAGGGTAAGCTACGGGCACTGTGTAGCTGCATGCAGGACAGCAGCAGGACACCTACAAACCCCCATCTGATGGCTGAAAATCCATGCAGCGTGTCCTGTTGGGATGCCTTTGCTCTACTCCTCCCCTCCACACTTTCATGCTGCCACATCTGTCTGACTCCCTTTTCAGGTTTGCTCTGTAGCAGAGCTCTGCCCAGGGCCTCATCCATGATACTGATTTTCCTTCCTTCCTCCTCTCCAGCTTGACCAAGCTGCTTTCCCCCATCCTGCCTTCCAGAGACTGATTTCCCAGTGGGCATCATTTCTTTGCTCCTTTGGTGCATGCTTCTTTCACCTTCCCTTCATCCCCTTTTCCTTCCTTTCCATCTATCCAACCCTTTTCTTTCCCTATGCTCAGTGGGACAATGTACAGTCCCATCAGCTAACAGCATAACTAATAGCCTCCCTTACCTAAACCACCACTTTCTTCCATCTCCTTGGGCTGGAGCTCCTTTGTGGCCCACTCATTTCCCCTCCACCATCACCTTTTTTTATAAGCATGCAGCAGTTTTGGGGATGACTTGCCCCCAAATGGCCAACTGGGGATATAGAGGTACCTCTCTAAGCATCTCCTTGCGATTAAGCTCCTCATCCAACACTGCCCCTCTGTACAGAGGGTTTAGGTGCCTGTGTATTTTGTCTCTTTGCAGGCAGGGTCGTTTCCTGCCAAGCTGATGCATCAGCCTGTATCCGGCAGGCATATCCCAACGAGCATCTCTGGGAAGCCTTTCCCCACCTCGCCCCCAGCTTCCCTCTCACAGTGCCTCCATAATGAACACAACTCCCTAAAACACACAGACAGACAGACAACACATAAAGAAGGTACTTTTGGTTCAAACACTTAATACTGTCTTTCAAAAGAAAATGCCCAGTGGCTCTCAAGGGAGAAAGATCCCATTTGGCAGCCAGATCTGCATGGATCCAACTCCAGGTTTGTATCTGGATAAGGAAAAGCTCACTGTCTGATCCTCTAACTCACACCTAGTGAGTTAATGACAGCGGTCAGCATCATCCCAGGAAGTGCTTGGTGCACTTCTCATCATTCACCCCAATGACACTGGTTCATGTTAATCACACCCTGCCAGGCGCTGCAGGATCAGGCTTCCAGAGAGCAGTAAAGAACCTATTTGCACGGACAATTTCCTTTCTGCATGTGCCAGGCTGGTTAAGACACAGAATCAAAGAACCCCAGACTCGTTTGGGTTGGAAAGAACCTTAAAGCTCATCTAGTTCCAACCCCCTGCCACAGGCAGGGACAATTTCCACTAGAGCAGCTTGCTCCAAGCCCTGTCCAACCTGGCCTTGAACACTGCCAGGGACGGGGCAGCCACAGCTTCTCTGGGCACCCTGTGTCAGCGTCACATACAGCAATAAAGATAAAAGCTGGTTGAAACAGGAAGGAAAACTTTGTTTTTCCAACTTTTTCCTGATTTTTATGCCTCAAATCAACTGATAAATTTTCCATTTACAACATCGAAAACAAGGGAATTTTTTTCCATTATACCCTCCAAAAAAGAACAAATCGAATGTTTTGAAAGCACCAAAGTGCTCCTTGAGCACAAAAAAAAACGATTTGGAAAACACAAAGAAGACGTTTTCCCTGCTGATCTGGCTTGGTTTTGTGCCCAAAACGCAGCCATACAAAAAAGCCTCTTTGAAAAACAATCCCAAAAGTGGGAATTTCAACCAGCTTTATCAGCAAGTGGCAGAGCAAAGCGTGTGGGGCTGGAGGTGAGAGCAGCACATCCAGTATGCATCACTAGGAGCCAGTTTGGAGTTCATTTTCCTTCACATACGATGCAGAGATGCCGGGTCATAGCGCTCCACTCCTCCAGTGGGGTCTACATAAACTCCTATTTTCATCTTTAACCTTTTCCTCACTGTGATAAAACTCTCTGCTGGCATAACAGAAACAAACACACACAATATTGCAATACTGAGACCATCTTAGAGCTTAAGACTATTTAAAAAAGAAAAAAAAATACTGGCACAAAATTTAATAAAATAAAACTTTTAACAGATTTCTTAAAAAAAAAAAAAAGTCTTGATCCCTCCTAGCAAAAATTCTGTCCTTTGTAGAAAAGCAGACGACCGACAGAAAGGTGATGGCCAAGAACGACGAAGAGTTCTTGGGGTTTTCCCATACTGCCCCTCCCCGAAGCAGGAATAGTCACCCACTTTGGTTTTCCCTCCCCACCCTCAAAGAGAGATCCAAATCCTTGGGAATACGATCGTTTCCTGAACTGCCTGCGTGCGAATAACACAAAATCCAAAGGGATCCATTTGATAATGTTTTTCCTAAACAGCAAGGGATGAGGAGGGGTTTGTTGGGGTTTTTTAAGTGAGCTACATTTTTCTGGCTTTCTTAAAACTCAGAATTTCCCCCCCAAAAAAAGCCTTTCTTGGAGCTTTCAGGGGAAGGAAAAAGCTCATCCTTCTACCAACTAAACACAGTTTGCCTCTTCCGCCTCCCTCTCTCCCAACATCCTCAAAGCATCAAATCTGAGTCGCTCTTTAAAAACAACAAAAACAAATTAACAAATGACCAAAAGAACAGCAAAAATAAGAAAAAGAACCAACAGAAAAAGTCCCATCGACTCTTCAAAATGACACGGGGTGACCCTCCACCCCGGCCGGCCACCTTCACTCATCGGCATCTGGCTTGACGTCCAGCATGGCGTGGAGCTCCTCGGGTGTGTAGCCCAGCAGGCTCTGCAGGTCGCAGACGAAGCGGTAGACGTAGCGTTTCCCAGCCGTCTTGTGGATGATGTTCTTGTCGTAGTAGTAGCGCAAGCCACGGCTCAGCTTCTCGTAGTTCATCTTGGGCTTGTTTTTCCTCTTGCCCCATCGCCTGGCCACCTGGGAGAGGGGAGAGGAGGGTCAAGGAGGGATGTGCATCGCAGGGAACGGACACGAGGGAAGAGAAAGGAGTTTCCTCATCTTTAAGATGGACACAGATGGGTCACAAGCATTAAGGTTTGGGGAAAGCAACCTCCATGCAATGGCAGAACACTGCACATGACTCTATGAGGATGTGCAGGTCATCCTGGGTCACAGAACCACAGAATGGTTTGGGTTGGAAGGGACCTTCAGAGACCATGTAGTCCAATCCTCCTTGAATGGCTCCAGGGATGGTACATCTACCACCTCTCTGGGCAAGCTGGTACAGTATTCACTCCCCAAAATCTGTGGCAAGTCTCCCTTCTCACCTGTACACATCCTTTTTGGCATTATACCTCTTCTCTGCCATGTTGCAGCTACTTCCCACTGACTTTGGGCACAAATTATGGCTTCCCAGGTATTAGTGCAGCCAGTTTTCAGCTGGGATCTAATTCATTGGTTTCCCCTACACATACCCAAGACCAGAACAATGTGACTGCCCAAATCTCAGCCCTGAAAGGAGGAGGGCAGGGTTATCCGCACCAATATTACAAAGGAATCTGGGCCATGCACTCTATTGCAGGGCACTCTACCTCGTCTGGGTCGGAAAGTTTGAATTCCCAGCCATCACCCGTCCAGCTGATGAAGGACTGACAGGACTTGTCAGTGAGCAGTTCCAGCAGGAACTGCCACAGTTGGATGGGTCCACTGCCTAGAAAGACAAGAGAAATACCAGAAATTAATGCCAGGAAAAGCACAGCTCCTTCTATCCGAGGGGGGGGGGGGGGGAATATCACATCCAAACAGTACACACTGAAAAGAATAAAACCTTCTACTGTCATAAAGAAAATAATCAGTGACCACAGGGCAAGATGTGGTCTGAGATGACAGCTTGAGAGTTAAATCCTGCAGGTAAAAGAGCTTCCTATTTGCAGTAAGAGCTGAATATTCATGCACTGGAACGCTTCACTTCGAGTTACATAAATAGGATTACTTTTCTGGCATCCAAACAGCGAGCAGTCATTGTCTTGGCACAACAGCACCCCTGCTTTCTCCGTGCCAAAAAGCTGCTGGCCATCACATGAACTCCGGCAGACTCCTGCTTCCCGACCTTGACTCTTTGCTCGGTTGCTGCTCATCGAGATAAGGGGGAGGACACCCAGGTATGAAAATCATCTGGCCTCTTTCCAGGGCGTGTTGCTGCAGGAATGGGCTGCGCTGGTGCACAGAGCTCAGTGCAGGGAAGGCAGGGGTTGGCTGGCTCTCTGCATGGGTCTCACCAGCCCAGGACTGTTGCATCTCCCTATCATGGTCTTAGCAAAGTCCTAGTAAACCTCCCTGTGGCTGCTGGTCCCCCTAATCCACTCAAAGTGGCCCATAGCATCCCATACCACGTACGTTCAACCTTACAACAGCACAGTCCCCGGGGTGCTAATTTTGGCCAACAGCACTCTGACACATCTAATCTGCAGTACCTGGTGCCTGCGGCTTCGCAGCCTGGTTTGGGCTGGATGAATGGTGCACATGGAGTGATTTCGAAACCCTTATCCCTTCTTATGTCCCAATCAAAGGTAGAGGAGAAGCCCTCAAGCCAAATCTCTTTGATGAGCAACTTCCAAATGCAGCCGCACCCTAAATATTGTGCTTAGCTCTGGGCAACATGTTTCAGGAGAGACGTTGCCATGCTCTAAACGCAGCTTAAAATACATCACTAATAACAAGAATGACAATAATAATAATAATAAACAGAACCAGGGGTTAGAGGAAATGATTTATCACAAGAGGAATGGCACAGGCTGCATTAAGACAGCAGGCTGGGGTAAACCCGCCTGCTGACAGCAATGAGTACAGGCTTCAAGCAGGGAGGAGGAAGAATTATGTACTCAGACAAAGGGATGGAGAACAGCTTATTTCCAGGAATGACAATGAATGCTGTCGAGCTGTGGCTGCGGGATAACCCGCGGAGGGAAAAGAGGGCTGTTCCCCCTTTTCCACAAGGTTTAAAATGACTCAAAAGCAGAGGAGCTGGTAGGGAGGAGAAAATGAGAGAGCTGGCTCCGGGACAGGGAAATCACTGTGCCCTATCCAACCCTCCCCAAACTGTTTCCCTCCTGTTATTCCTAAGGAGCTGCTCCAGGGTTTTCTTGCCAAGCCTGGGGGTTATCACACAGCCAGGGGCTGGACAAGCAGGGAGCTCACACCATCTCTCTGCTTGTGAATGGGAAGATGACACTCAGCGGGGAAAGGCTCCAGCCCAGCGTTGTTCTGGGCAAGAGCTTGCCAAGACGTTGACTCCGTGACCACGCTCTCTGGTAGGGTTATCCACACCAAAACAGGGGAGGAAAGTCAGATGACGCCTTTGCCTCCCACCCGAAAGGGAAGAGCCAAAACCCTGGCTTGAAATGCCACCGCATCTCGAAACTCAGGCCTATTTATAGCAGCACACTTTAAACACAGAGAAAACACTGGGAAAAAAAAGGTTATTTCAGCAGCCTGGGGTCCTCCATGGGTAATCACAGGTGAATTGCCATGGAGCCTGTTTCTCCCAGCCAATCTGACTCTATAGCAATTCCCTACACAGAGAGCATCCAACACCAGAAGCAGGTTAACAGAGAAACAGTCCAAGGAGACACGATTTAAACAAGACCAGATTCATCACCTTGCACTGATTTCTCTCCTGCCCAACCAAATAAGGACTATTCATTGACTCATAAAATGGTTAGAGCTCGAAGCAACCTTAAATCTCATCCAGTTCCAATCCCCTGCCATGGGCAAGGACACCTTCCACTAGAGCAGGTTGCTCCAAGCCCCATCCAACCCGGCCTTGAACACTGCCAGGGATGGAGCAGCCACTGCTTCTCTGGGCATCTAATTCCCCGAATAAGATGGATGAAAACCCACCACGCTGGCACCAGGTTCTGTTTGGCCCACTTTGTGGGATCCTTTCAAGGTACAAGTGTCATTAACCCAGCCAACATCTGGCATGGAGAGGTGTTGGGAAACCTGGGAGTTTCTTGCCCTCTCTCCAGCAAGCAAGGCAAGGCTCCTGCCTCTGCTCGGCTGGGTATTTTGGGATTCTGAAGGAAGCGGTGTCATCCCTGCAACAGGGATTCCCAAGCTCTATTCCGAGCTGCCTGTGGGACACCGTAAAACCCCAAATTCCTCTGTGTTGGACAAGCAATCATGTCAAGAATGTGTTTACTGCGGGGCTCGCAGGCATGTCTGAGCTCCTATAAACACATACCCCGCCGGAGGGGAAGGCAGCAGAGGCCCTGCAGATGTGCCACTGCTGCTGACTTGGAGCCGTCAGCGAGGCAAGCAATGCTGAGGTGCA